ATATATATATATATATATATATATATATATAATCGCCCTCCTGTGACAAAAAACCTGAAGCCGCCTGTGGTGAAAATCTGTCCTTGTGAGTAAAACTGGTTAAAAAATCTTATTGTGTGGCTTCTTTGAGTAAGTAACCTGAACAGAGGATATTTTTATCCAAGAATACCTTCTTTAGTTTCAACAGACGGATTTGTTTTAATATTCACCATATGAGGAAAGGAAATCTTCAGCATACGTGTTTTATTTAGAAAACCTTTGGTACAAAATATATTTCTTTGAAACATGCATCAATAAGACGTGACACAAACAGGGGAAAGGTGTCATTTCTAAAGTCACCTGCAAGCACATTTCAAAAACTCCTGCTCCTAAAGTTTCATATACAGTATCTGTTACTATCAGGGTTTATTTTCAGTCTTTATTCAGTAATTGGTCATTAAATTAGAACATAACCTGGAGCTAAAAATGCTATTAAAAGCATTTTAAAGTTAATTCTCTTTGGGGTTTTTGTTCAGAGCTAACTAAACCTGCAGCAACCAAATTAAAAACCTTTCCTTGACATTTTATATCCAAATATATATATATATAATACTAGTTATCCAACTATCCATCCATCCATTTTCTTTACCTGCTTATTCCATTTTTGGGTCACGGGGGTCGCTGGTGCCCATGTCCAGCAATCACTGTGCGAGGGGCGGGGTACACCCTGGATGGGTCTCCAGTCCATCACAGGGACACATAGAGACAAACGAGACAAACAACCATTCACTCTCTCACTCACACCTAGGGACAATTTAGAGTTACCAATCAGCCTAACATGCATGTTTTTGGACTGTGGGAGGAAACTGGAGTACCCAGAGGAAACCCACGCATGCACGGAGAGAACATGCAAACTCCACCCAGAAAGGCCCCTGGACCGGGATTTGAACCAAGGACCTGCTCGCTGAGAGGCAGCAGCTCTACTAGTTGCACCACCGTGCTGCCTCGTTATCCAACTAATATATAAATATTAGTTGGAGCTAAACAAGGTGAGAACTTGGCTCATAGCAATGAGTCGGACTGCTTCAGAGCTACAGAGTCTGATCATAATGTTCAAACAGCCAGAGGACAGAAGGAGTCCGGTTCAGTGGCCTCAGGTTTCTGTCTCTGCTATTTGCTGATGATGTCATGATCTTCAGTTCTGACTGGAGCGGTTTGCAGCTGAGTCTGAAGCAGCTGGAATGAGGATCAGAACCTCCAAATCTGAGGAAGTCCAGGGTGGACTGCCCCGTCGGGTTGGGATTGAGGTTCTGCCTTAAGTGGAGTTTAAGTATCTTTGGGTTTTGTTCATGAATGAGAGAAGAAGAATGATCGGTGCAGCTTCAGCGGTGTTGTGGACTCTGTGCCGGTCCATTGTGGTGAAAATGAAGGTGAAGCTCTCTGTTTAATGAAGCTCTGTCTAAGTTTTTGTTGATCCTTCGCAGCTGCTTGGAGGGAGGACGAGAGTCCCCAGAGAACCAGTCCAATGATCTCCTGCTGATTATTACAAACCTGGTGTTTTCACAGAGACAGTTAGTGGATGTGACATTAGTTGATGTGATGTTGAATGATCTGTAGGACTTATCTGAGTCAAAACATGGGAGGGTTTGTCTTAAAATACTCAGGAGTTAAATACATATCAATCTCATTCTTGATTTGTTTGTTTTCTCTGTTCAGAGCTGTGTAGTGAACCTAGGCCCATGTCAAAACTGACCAGATGGACAGAG